CTATACAGTCACAACCTCTTTATAAGCACATTTTCAACAAAAGTTGCATTGTTCCCGACTGTGTGATTATAGGGGGGGTACGACTCATACCGTGTCTGACATAATAATAAGGTTCTTTTCTTCCGATCACGGTCAATAATATCGCTGAATCAATATCACTTCCCCAATCACTTATCTCATCGTTTCCCCAAAGTTATTCACCTGATAAATCATCACTCAATCATGTCTCCATTAATTCAAATGTGCTCGATTCAGGTTGAGTTCATCTTCTTTATTAAATTTGCCATTGTTTATGTGTCGAGGCATATAAAGTTTCATTTGGATAATGGACTGGTACACAAATTGTTGCACAAACTGGACGTCCGAAATTTTCTTAATATTAATATTAAAGAAACTTAAGAAAAACTGTTGCTTTTCAAATGTCTAAAAATCAAAACTTTTTTAGTTGACGAATTTAAACCGTATAGTCTGCACTATTCAACTTTCAAAGCTCTCACAACTGACAAATTGGTTGCTTATTTTAAGAGCCCAGTAAAAGCCTTAGGGTTTGAATGTTGGTATTTTATTTCAGGCTTTAGGTGTCTCTGTCCGGCACATGATCTCGACCATAACATTTTAAATCTGTGAACCCTCTGAATTAGCATATCTCATATCTATACTCGGCAGTCACGTGATTTATGTTAATTTTAATTGACCAATAATATCGTATCGTAATATGGTTATATCTTATTCTTGTTCTTTAAAGCCCTATAATTTTTTATACAGACATTATTTTTAAAATTGACCGGTAACTTTGCAGACCTTACTGTGAAGAACAAAAGTACCAGTCAGATTTTAAAAATAATATCTGTGTAAAAAGTTGAAGGAGTTTAAAGATGCCTAATTTTAACAATTCGTTGTTTCAATTTCGATCAAACTTATAAACTTTAAACTCTATAACTTTTTATACAGATGTTATTTTTAAAATTTGAGAGCTTACCGTGAAGAACAAAAGTGCCGGTCAGATTTTAAAAATAACATCTGCGTAAAAAGTTGAAGGAGTTTAAAAATGCCTAATATGTGATTGCATATTAATATTAATATGCGAAATATTAAATTGGCGGATACAAGTTGCTGATTGGTTACTTGTAAATCATGTGCATTTTCGCGGTTCCGTTTCCTGGTGTATTAGTATTAGATCACATCTTACACACTTCGCTTCGTTAGACATGGACACCGCTGAGTTGAAACAAGAATTGGGGAAAGCTGATGCGAAGTTGGATAGGTTGGAAAAACTGAGGCATGGACAACAGGAAGAGTACCAAGGGGAGAGGAACGTGTTGGAACAGCAAGAGACTTATTGGTTGGAGCAGAGGCAGACGCTATATACTTTAGGCAATCGACTTTGTGACTCGGGCGTTGGGGACATAGAATAGAGTGTACATAGGGTAGAGTAGAGTAGACGTAGTAATGAGTACTCACATCGCATATCGTTTCCCATTGCGTCGCTACCATTGCATCCGTCACGTACTAGTACAATCAGCTGACCGTCCTCCAAAGAAGAGACGCGTTGAAGCAGGCAAGTCTCACTGTCATCGCTGTCTCAGCAAACCAACGTTTATTTTGTTCGACCTTATTGACGTGACTCTTACTTTCCAATAATTATTGTTAACCTGTCATTCTTTATCAGAGGCACATTTCATGAACACTTGGAAAACAGCAATAGCATACAAGGTGATGGATATTCCACAAGCAGGTGGATTTATTAAGCAACCAGAATGTAAACCACTTGCCATAGTAGACCAGCCAGCACTCTTTATTAGACAGTCATATGTGGATCTTTACAACCTTGTGGTGGATAATGCGAGACAGTTACATCAATTAAGGGCTCTTATCACTGGTGCTTCTGGGATGGGAAAATCATCCTTTCTGATTTACTTCTTGATTCGTCTTGTGAAGGAATGCAATGCTAGAGTTGTTTTTGAAACAAGGCAGGGGTTTGTCTATTACTTCAATGGCCAGTCAGAGAAGTATGAAGTTGCAATGGACACATTATTTTTCTAATCAACTTGGGTCTGATGGTATATGGTACCTTGCAGATGGTGTGACTGATCCACTGCAGGGCAGTGCAAAAACTGTAGTTTCACTGTCACCCAAAGGTGTTAGATCAAAACAATTTCAAGAGTTTGTTAAGCTTGGCTGTCAGGAATTTTACATGCCACCATGGTCAAGTGATGAGTTGTCAGCCTGCTGGAATGAGGTCTTCCCATTTCTACCAGAATCACTTATGCAAGAACTTTATGGAAAGTGGGTGGTGTGCCACTATATGTTCTGGAAGTGCCAGCTGCTCAGATTTCTCTGCAAGGTGTAAATGAAACATGGGAGAAAGAAGCTGAAGAGGCTGCCATGAAACATATCAAGCTTTGAAAGAACTTACTGATATTGTAATTGGTAGTCTTTTGCAATGTGTAAAGGAAGATGCTAACTATATCAGCATCAGCAGCCACATTTTTTATCACCCCCACTTACAAGGATGGTGGTATAGGATGGGCTTCTATTTACATTCAATTAGAAGTCTTGAAGAGATGGACATTCTGAAAATGCAGGCTGTAGAATTTCAATGAATCTTTACACCAACAATATGCATCTTGATACTCAAGGGATATGTTGTTAAAATGGCAACAGTGGAATGCCCTAATACAATCATACTGTGATCCAATGATTCCACATGAGTTCAAGGGTTTTGCATTTGAGTCATATGTGATCCGACTGTTTATGAATGGTGATTGTATGCTTCCTTGTAAGAAACTTGGAGCTGTTAAGGATGCCATGGTAAGATAAGATTTAGCATGACTGTTATCACAATGGTAATTAAAGCACACTGAACACTTTTTTTTTCAGAATACAAACAGCAATAATAATAAGAAGGATAAGTCAAGCACAAAGCAGCAATCCCTCAATGAAGGAGAATTAAAGCTACCATCAAAACCATGTTATGAGACAATCTGATGTCCTGAAGACTCTCTAAATATACAAATTCAGATATATCAATACTGCTTATACCTACTATCAAGAACTTTGGCACTGTTGATTTCTTTATGACACCTGACTACTTATTACAAGTGACAATTGCTGAAACTCACCCAATCAAGCACAAGCAGCTATGCAACATTGTCAACAGCATGCAAGTCAATCACAGGCAGTTGCAGGAAGATAAGAAAATAAGGTTCTACTTTGTAGTGCCAGAAGACATTTATGATAATTTCCAATACCAGAAGATTGTGACAAGTGATAACAAAGAGGTCACAAAACTGTCCAACAACCTTGAGAATGTTGAACAATGGGTGGTAAAAATCTCAACGACTTCTGGGACTGCTAATAGTAATATAGGAATTTGACAAACAGTGAGGGGGATATTTGTTGATATCTATCTATGTATATCTTTTTTATTGTTACGAGATGCAGTATGACAATAACACATAGTTGTAATATTGTATAAAGTGTACAATATTAAAGTTCGTTTTAATAATGAAGCAGATACATACGTAATAATCGTTTAAGAAATAAACTTGTCAAAGAATTGATAAAAACTACACATAGGATTAATTGTATATGAATAATAGCAATAATTATGATAGTTCTACCGAGTATGAACAAGCATTTGCCGAATTACGTGAGGCGTTTCAAGCTCTCTCTAGACCCGCGCAAGATATATTTAATGGCCCAGCTGACGTCTTAAAAAGAAAATGCGTACTAATAAGAGAAGGTTTTACTACTGAGATCGCAATACGCCTCTTTGTCAGAAACGTATCTCAATATGCTAGGAACACTTCGAAAGCGTTAGAAATCATCTAGCAACTAATGGCATAATATTACGCGTTCATGGTAACATCAAGCGATTGCCGCGATGGAAGACCAAGGTAACTATCAATAAAACTCGAAAATTATGCTCGAATAGTTTTCTGCTTATACAGATTAAATGAAATGGAATCACGAATTAAGGTTTGAATACTGAGCGAAATCTTGTTATTGTACAGTGTCTTTAATTATATAAGTTCCATACCAATGTATCGTGAATAATTGGCCGGAAACGTAAACAAAAATTGAATCTTTATATGGGTACTGTATATACGTACAGGGCTAAAAACGCTAGAAAATTTAAACGTATTCGTTGAATAAGCTATTTTAAATAGCAGATTTATGGACGTCTACACTCCTGAAGAATGGCATGAATATTGCAAAATGCCACAAGTGCGCATTGGAGAAACTCCTGGTGAGTGGAAAGATCTGGGAACGCTTAAAGTATTTTAGAGAAAATGGTCTGTTGCCAAGTTAGAGTAAAAATATCTTGGAGCTAAGAAATTAATACGATTTCCGGTTGGCAGTTCATCTGCTCCTGAAATCGGAATAGCAATATGTTTCTCTTGTGATCGATTAGTATATACTGGGCAAAGAAAAAAGAATATAGGAAATTATAACCATATAGAAACGGAGAAGCATTGGAAATTTTCATGTACCGGAAATAATAATTACTGTGGTGTAAATTATGAAGAGTATTTGAAAATTAAACAAGAATGTAATTCTGGATATTATGACAATAAGTATGCATTACATCGTTATGAGTTATGGAAATGCAATGCAATCGGGAGACTCGAACGTGCAAGGGAAATTGGTAAAAAGATTCAAAGAAAAATTGTGGAATATTTACCCGCCCTGATGGAGAAACTATACATGTTTACAAATATTAGAGCGGAAATGCGTTGTGGGGTACCACTTCAGATTAGTAACGTACCTACTCAGCGTGAAATCTTATCCTATGTATCTAATTTCAAAGCATTGTTCCAACCCAAACGAATGTATAGAGGATCCTCGTTTGCTCAATCACAATGAATTGCAGATTATATCATCGGAACGTGACATCTTCGCGACATGGCTCCTTAAAAGATGATGTCCAATCAAACTAGTTCGTCATTTTTCCCATTAAACATTCGATACATTTTATGCCCAAGTAAAATATTGACGATATTTGTTTTTCCCGGTCACAGACTAATAAATTGAATGGCCATTCATTGCGAGAGGTCGAGTTGAGACCGTTGAATCTTTCTGCATTCTTACACTCGTCAATGTGTTTCGCACCGATCGAGTTTTGCCGTACGGGCAGCAAGAGATGGATGAAGCTTATACGTGACATTTTTTTCAAATAATAAACGTTAGTATATTTGGTAATAGTACCACAGAAGATTATTCGATATTAGTATTTGACAAATAACCCTTTTCTACTATGGATATAGTGTAAAAGATCGCAGGTATGGCTTTGGCATAAGATAATTGCTTGGGACTCTTGCAGCATGTTTTGATCCAGCTTTTATGAAAGTTAAGAACTGACCATAATGATTATGATATTTTAAATTGGTCATTTGTAATACAGTCAACTCTCTTTATAACGACCGCCTGTGCTCTGTTCATTTTCAAAACGTCATATTAATATGTACTACGCTGCATATAACGACTGCAAATCCAAATACATGTACTGCGACATCGTGTTTGAGCATTATCTCTTTCCCACTGCAACATACACAAATTTGATATCACTTGAACATCTCTATTAGAGTGACGTATTGTTTATTCACATCTTGCCTGCATAATTCGCATCACGTGGTTTAATAAAACTTTCTTTCTACGCGTAGATAAGTTGATTGGCAATCGCAATGATTCGAGGGCCAGAGCATGCAAATCCTACCGTTTCTCGGCTTTCTTTATGGAGAAATCGCGTAGTAGTAGCATTTACTCACATGTTTTTCACGTGATTAAACATCCCCTATAAAAGACATATTATCGTTATACTGGTGCACATTTTTTAATGAAAGATGGTCGAATCAACAGCCACTCAAACATTAAAAAAGAAACCTCGCTACAATCGACCAACTATACTCGTGCCATCAACAGAACGGACATTTCTACTGTCATCGAATAAAGAATTCAACATTCAATATTCGATCCACTCGATAGCATCAAGTCGATATGCCAGAGACTTGAAGAGTGTATTTCCCGAAGTAAAAGATTTAGATAAATGTCTGGTGGTTCCCACATTTCAGAAATGTGTCAATGATCTGGCTGCATTTGGTGAAGTCGTTGATAAAGAAAGGGATGAAAAACTTGAAAATGTATGGTTATTTTTTTTTGCCTGATGATAGATAGACTGCGGAATCAATGTGCGTCGCAGTTAAAGTTTCATTCTTTTTTTTTCCTCTCTCCCAAGTTCATTGAATGGGGCAAGGCAATCTGCGAATACTTGAAAGCTCGTGGTCATTGGGCTGATCTGGTTGACCCAGCATCAGCATATCCGGTAATTCTAATTCTACACATGTCATCCAATCGTGTACAAAGCCCTTCCCTTCCACAGACAGTCTATAACGTGTTATACGATTTTTTTTGCTCTCCCCTCACCTCCCTCCCCTCTCTCCTTACTCGCTAGATGTATTCATCACCCGGGCCCTCGGGATATCCGGAAGTGGTCGGAGCAGAACAGCTTCTCAAGTATCATTCACAAAACGCCAACTGTTGCAAGATTCTTCTCCATCCCCAATGGGGCAGCAAAGTATATCCTGCTACATTATTTACTACTTCTGATGAGGACACATTGAAACAAGCAATTGACACAATGGCTGTGATTGATGCATGACACAAACAATTAATACTTAGTAGAAGAGCCCCGCGGACTCTTTGATATGCGACATATCATGTGCAATGAAATGATGTGCAAATAGAATATTAACAATTAACATGAAATTAGACTATTATCTCGTTCAAACTCTATTCGGCAAATCCCTTGACAACTCAGCGATTCTTCACTCATCTTTCGCCTTGTTCCGTTATCATCCTCTTTTCTTCAATTTGGATAACTTTTTTGTCACAGACTTGTGTTTCCGCTTAAACTCGGCTGTCAATTCTTTCCGTGATTCCTCCCATTGTGCCGTTATTTCGTCCCTGTTCACAAATACTTGATTTTAGTATGGATTTGTCTGAGATATGACAATGTAGCTTGTAATACTTGCATGGATTCAGTGCGCATAAATGTCTTTAATTCTCTGTAATGGGATCTAGACAAAGAAGGTAAAGGTCAATGACGCAGAATCACATGAACAAAAATTTCCGTATTAGACATAATTAACCAACCTCTTTTCCAGTGACTTGTCTCCAAAATGAAAGAAGAACAACGGTGCCGATTCAGACATTCCCGGGACAATGCTCTGACTTTCTACCGATTTATTTTTCGGGTTCTGCCGTCACGTGCGTAGAATAATATTAATATGGCAGAACTCGGCTATTTCTCGTTGCATAATGTATACATACGAATTGTTTGTGGGTACTTGATATCATGTTAACCGGACTCTCATTTTCCGAATCATCATCCTGATCCGTCGATTCATCTATATTCTCATTCTCTTCTCTATCCTGATTCTCGTCGTCGTCTTCTGAGCTTTCATCGTCATGTCTGAATAGTGAGAATCCAGAACTAGCTATTATAACACAACG